GTCATGCGTCCAACTACATAAAGTGTTATGCTGCATATAAAGATTATTTATTAATATACTGTAGTTTAATTTAGATACTTTTGTCATGATGTCTCTTACTGTTTGATTTTGAAAGAAACTTTAAGAATATTCACAACCAAGCAAATACATGAAACAAATACTTACACATTCTAAAACTAAATCTCGCAAAGATTCATGTTTTAATTGTCCACCAACAGAAATGTGATTACATTCCAATCTAATATGAGCACTTTGTAAGTTTCGACATGAGTTCATGAACTTGAAACCCTGATGATTGTGACTACAATAATTATTTAAGGACAGTTCAACTATTTTGAGTCTGCTTAATATGGCACCATCTGGCTCGAGGCCATCTGGAAACTCTGTGGATAAAAGATGAATTCCAATTATTAAAAATTTTAAAAAAAGTATTTCTAAGTCACCTTCATAATCACAAATGAACAGTCTTTCAAGATTTGGAAAATATTTGACATCATTTATGAAGCTATCTAGAGTAGAATTCCGCAGTTGCAATTGTTTGATGCCGGCACCCTTCTTTTTTATGAACGACTCAATGTCCCATACGCAATCCGTTGATACCATTTCTAGATCATCACAATATTGGAAAACTGATTCATCCCTGTTATAAAAATGATCAATTATTCCTTTGAAAGATTTTATCTTTTTGACCAATGTAACAATATCTTCATGATCTACTTTTTTACAGAGTTTCCCAAGAAATTCGGCAACCTAAGGTAATAAATATAACAGAATTAATAAGCAGCCAACAATAGAAGTTAAATTATTCAACGAACTATTAAATTAGGAAATAATGTACTCAAACATGTTCCATCGATTGGTTCCTCTGTTCGATAATAAACATGATTCAACGGATAACTTGGAGATGGCTCCTCATCTGGCCAATCACCTTCATGTTTTGCAAATATAAATTGTTTAAGAGTAAATCTGATCACGATGAGAATAAGTATTGAAAATAATTTTCTTCTTACCAAGCAAATATTTAACCTTTCTAGTTCGCTCTTCAATTAAACGGCTCCATTTGCTGCATACTGTAAAGAAATTTTTTAATAATTACTAAATTTTCTGTTGTTTCAAAGTCTTGTGCATATGTTTCTCTTTTATTATATGTAGAGAAAAGGTCATGATTTGTTCAAAACAGACTTACCTTTGTAGCAGCTTACTAAATCATCCAATTCATTTATCAGACCAAAAATGATGAGTAAACATTCCTCTGGAAGTTCATTGAGAAACATTGTACAACTAACGCTTAAATCACTTTTAAATATTACAAATGATCCGATCTAGAGATGAGATTGATTCCAACAAATATAAACTTCAGTTATCTATGCAAAATAAAATAATTGGGAAAAATTAAGGAATTAATTAGTAAAAAACATAAACAGAAATAACACTTGTTTGGATGATATTTCAAGTTACAAACGGTTTTTTGAATTTGAGATTTCTCAATAGAAAAAAAGCTAAAAATGAAATCGGATCCCGGATCCGATATTTATCTATCACAAACTTGTCAAATTGATGATAAGAGTAATTTAGTTTAGATTAAAATCAATTTGTCAAAACTGACTTTAAAAATGAGCTCTAAAAAGTCAGAGCTTTTATTAAGAAACTTTTTAACTTGCTGACCAAATGGTCTGATTTGGGAAATTTTCAAAGGCTATCCAAACAAAACTTTCTCATTTATCATTTGGTGCATGGGAATAATTCACCTCAATAAGACTCAAAGCATTAGAGTTAACTTATCACCACATCTTTGAATAGTCAATGCCGAGAGATGAATTACCTGAACAAATGATCAACTTTGGTACTTGGATTTGAGTGACAATAGTTTAGAATATCCAAGTCAATATGTTTCAAGGGTTGCCATCTAGACCGAAGTTAATTTATCTGGCAATGAATTAATCAGCTTAGATCATGAAATCTACAAAAATATCTGGCCTCAGTTGCGGTATTTCAATGGTAAATGTTTTTACGAAAGTAAATTTAAATTAATCTTGTTTGATCTACTCTAACAATTTGCTTCTTCTCTTTAATGACATAGGGAATCACTTATTCTGTTAAAATCTCTGTTGATCTCTTGAACTTGGAATTGACATGAACATCGTTAGATTTTAAAAAAAATTTTATTGAAAATTAAAATTCAGATTTGTTCGATTGAAATTGTAAGAATCGGTCATTTTTTCAAAATGAATAATATTATGAATGCATATTGTGTGTTGAAGATACCAACAGCAAATTATACTCAAAGGTGATTCAGTGCTCACTAGGGATTAAGAAAGTAGGAGAGCTCACAAGGAAGCAATGTTTCATGAAATCAAAACCTTGACCTATTATTTTATATTCAGTGGATAAATGAGGCCAATCTGATTCAATTTCATGGTAATTACCATCAAAATAAAACTTGATATATCGTCCATGTAGTCTATTATAATCTTGAACATAATTAGCAGCCTCCTGAGTGACTTTTGGACAACCACGACCATCAAATAATATCAAATTGGGTAAAATGTTAATCAATTGCAGCACGGCTTCATTTTCCAGGCTATTGCATTTCCTCAGTGCAAGATGTTTAAGATTTGGATATTTCATGAACAATATTTTAAAATCATCCCAGTTGATACTATCTGTATAGTATTGTCCATACTGTGCATTAATTAACACAAAAATTAGTTGATTAATATAGATGAATTTAGATATTTTTTGGATGAAAAAATCTCAAGAATATTTAACAAATCCATTTTGAGTCAAATAATACTTACAAATGTTATGACTAAATCATGCAAAGATTCGTGTTTTAGGGTTTCATCAACAAAAAATCGATCGTAGTCCAAGAAAA